AATGCAGGCAAAGAGTTCACTAGAAACGTACCTAAACATAGGTACAACAGATAAGCATAACACATATATGATAACTGAAATATAGAATAGAAACATACCAGCAATCACATCCGGTGCTGCCTTGGCCTCCTCGGCCGTGAGCTGGAAGGCACACCCCTGAGCCTTTGGAGGCTCTGGCTTGACTGGCCTCCCATCTGTAATCCTCAACATAGCTGGTGCGGGAACCTGCACGGACTTGGCGATGAGCTGCAGACAGTTGGTCTTGATATGACCAACCTGATGACAGTGATAACATATCCTCATATCTGCCGGAGGGGCGGACTGGTGACAGTCCCTGGCATAGTGCCCCTCCTTGCCACATTTGTGGTAGCCACCACATGATCGACAAACTCTAGAATGACCCCTACCACACTTTCCACAAGTGTGGCTCTGCTGACCTCTGGTCCTAGTATCAGCGGTCTTAGACCGCTTAGGTGTCGGCTGAGACTGTGTCGGAACCTGATGCGATTCCTTCAGCTACAGCTCTATCTCCAACTCACGCTGCCTTGCGGATTCCTGAAGGTCTAGAAGAGTATCACAACGTTGTGTAGCAATACAATGATGGATATCCGTCTTGAGCATACTCAGATAATGAGTCATCTGAGACTTCTCGGAAGCAAACTCCGGGCAAAACATAGCCCTTTCTGTGAACATGCGGGTGATCTCCATCATCGACTCTCCATCCTGCCTCAATGTCAAAAACTCCTGAGCAAGCCGCTCCTGCTCCACGCGTGGAACGTAGCGGGTGCAGAACATCTCCATGAACTGTCCCAAGAAATAGCAGCTCTCTGATCATCGGTGTAAGACCCAGTCGTTAGTCTCCACTAGTCCTTGGCCCCAAGCCTCAGCAGGTTCGGGGCACACCTGACCTTCTGGTCTGTAGGACACGAGCACGTGAAGAAACAACCCTCTACGTCAGATAACCACCTCATATCCCTGATCACATCCTGTGTACCATCAAAAGTCGGGGGCTTCGTGTTATCGAAGTCCCGATGCTGGAAAGCCCGAGTGGCTCCTCCTCTACTCCCTGCCGCTGTTACAGCCGATGTAGCTTCCGTGACAGCCGTCTCTGCTAAGGCTGCATAACGCTCATCAAAGTACTCAACCATAGCGGTCTTGATCGACCCAAACATCTCTAGTAGTTGCGGTCGAAACGCAGTAGCAATCTCATCATGCAGGATCTCCCGAATCCTGTCATCCAACTTCTCTGTCCCTATCTGCACCACGGGCTCAGGTGCAATAGGCACATCCGGGCCTCCTCCCCCTGATCCTGATCCTAATCTATTCGTAAAGCGTCTCGTCATCACCATATTGAAAATATACCCAAGACGTCAGATAAACAACATAATATCGGGAGACCAATTTCCACAAACACTAGAGGTTGTGACTTCCTTGCTACACATTTGGGTCCTGTGCTTTCTGTAGTACAGATCCATACTACCTTCCACACCTACCCATATTTGTCTCAAGTATCACCACAACACCCTAACCATAGATATCAACATAGCAAGCGCTCAATCCTCACTCCTAGAGGAAGGTGAAACTATCTCACAACTAGCCTCACGACTTCTCATGACCCATCCACCCATGAAACTTCCACCAACCCTGCAGCATTAGCGTATGTTGTCCCCACAAAACGCTGCAACCAATAGACTTTCGAATATCCAATCCAACCCTAAGGTCGAATCAAACCTTCTCAGGCAATAAGATCTTGATTATTCACATCTGCGATGCATACACTAAACAACTACAGTAATGATGTCAACTCCATATAAAAGAAACTCTAGGCTAGTAAGCATCATATAATTAGGCAAGTCTGTCATGCAATTCCTGAAGATCCCTAGCCTAGCACTAGTATGTTGTTCTAACAGATCATAACATCAAATAACTATATGGTATTTTGGGTTCTACTTACTGGCTCCGACTGATCGTACATTCCACATCCTCCATCCCTTATTTTGAAAACCACTTTAAAATTAATTCTAAAGTTTTCCTTGATTTGAGACTGGATTCACACGAGTGTTCTTCCAATTCACTCAAACCAAGGCTCTGATACCACTTGTAACATACAAAAAATTTTAAGCCAAATTTAAACTTTCTCAACCATGAAACCAAATAATGTTTTACAAATAGTTTTCAAAATATTATTCATCAGAGTGTCCCAAAATATAGTCACATGGATGGGGAGCGGTACGGTCAAGCCTTCGCCTTGCCATGATCTCCGGAAGTACCTGAAACAATAAACTGAAACTGTAACCCCAATGGCTTAGTGAGCTACCCCCAAAATACTAATACCACACCAATAATACCATATCAATAACAGATAATCAACAACATGCATACTAGGCCTTGGGCCTGACTGGACTGCCCTGTAGGGCCTACAATCTATCTAGATCTATCACGAGCCTTCGGTATGACTGGACCACCATACGGGCCTACATTCTATCCGGACCGCTCATAGGTATGTTGGCCTTTAGCACAAAGCAGAACCGCCTCAGCCCAACATCAAGCAACTAACCATGTGCACATAAGTAACATATACTGGCATAACAGATATCAGATATAACTATATCACAGATCATCGATCATAGCAATCTCTCATAACCAGAGCACTGACCTAACCAGGTCACTAACATACCAATCCTAACAGATCATAAGAGCATAACAACATACTGTCTATCCTGATACCGATCTAACTGATCATAACCACATATAACATACTATAACCAAGATAACAACTAAAAGGGCCAGCCTGGTGCCTTAGACCCTATTGATATAGTGAGGATAACTCACCTTGCTAGTAACTCGGAAATGATACTACTCACACCTCCAGATATAGCTCTAACCACCTCGCATGTACCTATAAGTGGTCCACTCAATAATCACTCTAAATACCAAAATGCCTTTGGGAGGTACATGACATCCCACAGTCAAGTCAAGTCATTGGTCAATAGTCCATGCTGAACTATTTGTTTAATATAACTCTCTCTACCTCGAGTGCCTCCTGATTCCAGAATTTCTCAACTCGACTCGCCGAGTCTCAAGTAGACTCGCCGAGTCGATACATGACATAGTGCATTGAATCCAAACTGACTCGCCGGGTCATCTCCCGGACCTCGCCAAGTCCATGCGGGACTAATTTGGACAAAACCCTAACCGACTCGCCAAGTCATCTTCGAAACTCACTGAGTCCATATGCATACTCTCATGATCACGTGATTCTGAACTACCCCTTTGCTCTAATCAGTAGATCTAGGTCCCTAGAGTGCTTTAGCAACGTAAAGTTGCTACCTTTACGTATTTTCATGACTTAAATTCCACATCTAAGCTTGAAATGGGACTTTACTCATAAACAAGGGTTCTTTCATGACCCTATTAAGAACTTTATGAACTTAGGGCTCAAAAGAGGTTTAGATCTAAAGTTTCAACTTCAGATCTAGCTCCCATACCGTAATTCCTTCATGAATAGCTAAAGAAAGCCTTAAACTTCACATATGAAAGATTCTAGAAGAAAAGAGGTCAAGGTAACAGCTTGTTACCTTCAAAATGTGCCCAAACTGAAGTAGACTCAGGATCCACACGAAATCCTTGATGCTAGCCTCTTGATCTAGAAGTTTCATTCACAGAAATTACTTGCTAAAGCTCCAAAACACTCTCCAAGCTCACACTCCATGGAAATTAGGGTTTCTAGCTCTCAAGGGGTCATAGAGGATAGTGGGAGGCGCTAATGGTCCAACATATAGGGTGCAAAAACCCTAAAATTTAGGGTTTCCTCTGCCAGCTCCTACTCGTCGAGTCCCCATGCCGACTCGTCGAGTCACTCATTAAATGATGTGTCCTGACTCGCTGCTACTCGACGAGTCACAACGCCAACTCGTCAAGTAGGCCTTAAAACATGAAATCTAATGGAATAATAATGATACCTGACAGTTGGGATGTTGCACTAAAAGCCTAAAACACTAAATATGTTGAGTTTATTTTTGTATTTCCTGTCATGTCAAAACTCAAAAGTAGATAATCTACTTAAAATTAGAAACCTTTTTAATAGTCATAACATGATACGTATAAATTATGAATTACAAAGCTAAACAGTACAAAATGAAGATATCTAACAAAAACTTACTTCCGTTCACAGATTAAAAAAGTTGAGGATGGAATGATTGCCGAAGTGTAAGCTCTTACCATGTTTTTACTAACTTTTAGTTTCTTAGTCAATCATAAACATGATATGTTTCATTTTTTCCTTTATCATTTACCTTTCCCTGAAATCGATTTTATAGGAAATCAATCCTTTTTTTATTACTTCAGGTGTGCTATCGATGGATCAAGGAAAGGAGGTGTGAATTTGGTGTTTGTATGTTATTTTTCCAAATATTGGTCTTATTGATGTTGTGCTACGAATCATACGATTGATGTTAGTTCTCCACTCCTAATTTAATGGTAGTTTAATGGGGAGTTGAATGGGGAGTTTAATCCCATTAAACTCAAAATCCCCATTGTGGGTTAATGACATGATACTCAATAGAATGGGGAGTTCAATCCCCATTGAATTCCACAATCTCTCTCCTCTCACACACATATAAATGATGTGGTAATCCATTAAATTGTATTGGGTTTAATGGAGTGTAGAGTTTAACAGGTAAAAATTGTATTGTGAGTGGAATGTACATGTGACAATCCATTCAACTCATGTGAGTTCAATGCATTGAAGATGGCCTTAGGTCAATGAACTTTTATTGTTTTATATATATATATATATATATTAAACTTTCTGCACTTCTTACATTATTATTTGTAATTCTGTGATATAAATCATACCATTTATATTTGCAATTACTTTCCAATTAATATGCTTTCAAAAGTGGTGTACACCTCAATAATTATTTTATCTGGATGTTTTAATCATATATCTATATTTACATAAAACCCTTATCAATTTCCTATTGGACGACAAAAAGAAGATGGAGAATAACTGGACGACGGTACGCCGGAGGAGAAAACCAGTAAACAAACAGGAGACCACGTATTTTGTTACAAACCTACCAAAGGAAGCGGCAAAAGGTGAGCTTTGGAAAGCCTTCGAGAAATATGGAAACCTATCGGATGTATACATGGGTAAAAAACCGGGGAAAAACTGACAGTACTATGTGTTCATCAGATTCAGAGGGGTTATGAACGAAAAGGAGTTGGAAAGAAGATTGAACGCTGCCAAAGTTAGAGGGAAGATACTAGCGGTTAATGTCGCCTTGCATGAGAGGAAAGAAATGGCAAGGAACCAAGACTTCAATGAGTAATTCAGAAGAGCGAATGTTGGACAAACAGCTGCCGCCAAAAACAATGGAATGTGGACTGGATGCAGTCTCCGCGATCATCGGTCGTATGCCAATGTAGTAAGACCAGAATACACATCATCTGCCCATCCCCCCTGGGCCACCGCCTCCGGCACCCATCCCGCTCCACCAGGACCCGATCACTCTCAGTTGGTTGAGGAAATGTTCGCTTGTTGGTGAAGCAACTTCACTAGATCACCTGGGTCATCTGCCTAAACTACTCCTTGCAAAGGGAGAAACGTGTATTGAAGTAAAATATATTGGAGGATTAATGGTATTATTACTATTTGATCACTCGGTGGCTGCCAAGGAATTCATGGAACAAGAATATAGGTGGAAGGAGCATCTTAAATGGGTTAGATGGGGAGACAAAGTGGAGACACACGGAGATCGTGTGGCATGGATTCGAATACTGGGTCTTCCCCTGCGCCTTTGGGGGCAACGCAACTTTCAGACGATTACGGGAGGATTTGGGAAGATAATAGCTCCGTTTGAAGACATTCCCCACAGAGTGGATCTCTCACACATCAAGATTGGCTTACTCACCACCAGGAGAAATCGTATAAATGATGAAATCCGTGTTGCGTTCGAAGGGAAAGTATATAAATTGGGTATCATAGAATTCGATGAAGACTGGTTTCCCTTCAGATTTGATGATGATGAAGATTATGTTAAGTTGACAGGTATCAAAGAGAAAACAAAAGAGGTGGTTCAGAAGGGAAAAGAAAATGATGAAATGGAAGAGGGGGAGATACGACCTGAATCAGGTGGAACGGAAGCGCAAGGACCGGAAAATTCTAGGGTTCCGACGATCGATTCTGAGAAGACGGAGGTGGAAGACGAAGAGTCTCATGGGGAACCGACAGGTGTGGAGACTTCGAGAAAGACAGACGAATCGACACTCCGGAATAAATCTATTACTAACGGTACTTTTCACCCAACTTGCCACGTGGATGGAGCATACCGTGTAACTCATAACAACCCAAACTCAGTATACGGTGGGCCAAATATTGGGCTTCCACTAATTAATTGTTTTGGGCCCTTCCCTGCTCCATCTGCATGTGGAATAAACAACGACACACAAATGATTAAAGTGGGCAGATCCAATGGGAAAAGGAGGCGGATCGTAGAATGTGATGATCTAACTCCTAATATTGTCCCGTTGATGGAATTAGAAGATGATACCCCCTACCTCATACAATTCCCCTTCCAGATTCCCCACCTGCCAATTTCGAAGATAACCAAATTGACCTTAATACCCCTCCCCCACAACAATGCGAGAATACAGATGCAACTCCCCAAAACCCCCAGACATCGGAACTTGTCAAAACTGCTGAATTGGGAAAGGAATTGGGATTCGACATTAGCCCTGATAACCCTATCCTTCATGAAGCCATGGGATAAGAAGGCGAATGTTTCGTCCCTCAATGAACTGTCTCAGCTTGAACGTAAGGGGAATTGGTGAGGCACATAAAGTCAGTTGGGTGAAACGACTTAAGACGCGCAATAAGATATCATTCCTGGGACTCCAGGAAACTCAATTGATGAACATTGACGCTATCGATGTACATGGTTGCTGGGACTCAGATGAATTTCAATTTTCTGCAACTCAGTCATCTGGCAGATCAGGCGGGCTGCTGAGTATATGGGACGCGAACATTTTTTAGGTAAGGGAAGTAATCAAATCGAATCATTTCTTGATAACCATTGGTGATTGGGAAGGGATTCCAAGGGATACGATAGTTGCCAATATATATGGTCCTCACGACCCGGTTGAAAAGAAAAGACTATGGGAAGAGTTGCTACATTGGAAGAAGGAGAGACCATGAACATGGGTTTTATTTGGGGATTTCAACACAGTTAGAAGACGAGATGAACGAATTAACTCTCAGTTCTATCCCTCCTCTGCTTTCTACTTCAATAGATTCATCTCTGAAGCAGGTCTTCATGACATCAGAATGGGGGGGGGGGGGAGCAGATATACTTACTTTTGCCAGACGGATATAAAGCTTAGCAAACTCGATAGATTCCTGGTATGTAGTAATTTTATCAATGCCTTCCCGTCTACCTCAGTCACTGCCCTCCCAAGAGAGCTATCAGATCATAGCCCAATAATACTCCAAACTTCCTCCCCGGGTTTTGGGAAAACCCCATTCCGGTTATTTAATTCTTGGCTCGATTGAGAAGGATTTAAGGCGGTCGTTAAAAAGGCCTGGGGTGAATTTAAAGGGTACGGTGTGCCAGATATGTACATGATGGCGAAATTGAAGTATCTAAAAAATGGGATAAAAATATGGAGAGCTATAGATCAACCTAAGGAAGTGATAGAATTACAGGAAACAAAAAGAAGAGTTCATGAGATTGACCTGATAGCAGAAGAGCGAATGCCTTCGGAAGAGGAGATAAGTGAAAGGAGGTTCGGGTTTCAAAAAATAGCAAAAATGGAGAGGTTCTTAGTTGAAGATATTAAACAAAGGGCGAAGATTAAGTGGATAAGTGATGGAGATGAAAATTCAGCCTTCTTTCATGGTTTTGTTAATAACAAAAAGAGAAAGAATAGGATCGCAGGTTTACTCGTTGACAACCAATGGATTACTGAACCAGAAGCAATTAAATCTGAGATTTTCAGATTCTATCAAGAGAAATTCCAAGAAAGGTGGTCGTCCAGACCAAAGTTCTTCAGTTCCCGGTTCAATACCTTAGACCCATTGGCAAGCGCAAGTATTGAAGCCCCGATCACAATTGAAGAAATAAAAGAGGCAATTTGGGCATGTGGAAATGAAAAAAGCCCAGGCCCTGATGGATTCTCCTTCAAACTTATAAAACGGCATTGGGAGACAATGAAGCACGACATAGTGAACATGGTTAAACACTTTGAAAGACACAGAGACATCAGCAGGGGATGTAATGCTTCATTCATTACCCTTATCCCGAAGATGAAGGACCCGCTCTCAGTTGGGGACTACCGGCCGATAAGCCTCATTGGTTGTATACAAGATCATTGCAAAACTACTATCTAGCAGGTTAAAAAGGGTGATTGGCGGATGTATAGGAGATGTACAATCAGCATTCCTTGAAGGTCGGAATATCCTGGAAGGACCCTTAATCGTCAATGAAATGTACTCATGGGCAAAAAAAGCGAATGAAAAGATGCTACTATTTAAGGTAGACTTCAATAAATCCTTCGACTCGGTCAATTGGGAATACTTGGATCACATTCAAATACAACTGGGGTTTGGTGAAAAATGGAGGAGATGGATACAAAGCTGCTTAAAAACCCCAACACTATCGGTCTTAGTTAATGGGTCCCCGACTAAGGAATTTGGAATGGGATGTGGAATAAGGCAAGGGGACCCTTTATCTCCATTCTTATTCCTAATAGCGATGGAAGGGCTGCATATTGTAATGGAAGAGGCGTGTGCTAAAGGTGTATTCAGAGGGACGCAAGTCCCTAATAGTGAAGTATGCATCTCACATCTGTTATATGCAGATGATGCCCTTTTTGTTGGAGAATGGAGTGATGAAAATATTAAAAACCTTGCAAGAATACTTAGGTGCTTCCATGTATCTTCGGGTCTGAAAGTAAATTTTGATAAGTCAAAGATCTTTGGAAGTGGAGTGGATCGGCAGGAAGTAACAAGATTGGTGGAGCCGCTAGGCTGCAAATCAGCTGATTTTCCATTCACGTATCTTGGAGTACCTATAGGGGCGAACATGAAATACAAAAGACATTGGATGCCGGTGATAGAAAAATTCCAATCCCGTCTGAATATATGGAAATCTAAAACCTTATCCCTCGGGGGTCGACTAACACTAGCGAAGGCTGTTTTGGGAAGCCTACCCACCTTTTATTTTTCTTTGTTTGTTGCTCCTACAGGTGTTATCAAGAAGTTGGAAAGCATAAGACGAAGATTTCTTTGGGGAGGCACGAATGAGGAAAAAAGGATCAACTGGGTGGCATGGCAATCAGTGACTGCCCGTAAGGAGACTGGTGGATTAGGAATGGGATCTCTCAGGGCTCAAAACCTATCACTAATTACGAAATGGATATGGAGGCTCAAAGTAGACAACTCAGGTTTATGGAGCAAAGTTATTAATGGAATTCACAATCTTCATGGCAAACCTGCACAACATATCTGTAAGAAAACACTACCTAGAGTATGGAGTCGAGTGGCTGGAGTGCGAGATGAATTAAAAAAATTTGGAATTGACATTGATGAAGTAATAATAAAGAAAATCGGATCAGGAGATGAGACTATGTTTTGGCTTGACAAATGGTTTGGCGGCTCAACACTGAAGGACTCCTTCCCAGAGGCATACAAACTGGAAGGCCACAAGCATTGTAAAATAAGTAATCGTATACAACATGGTACCATGAACTGGGAATGGAAATCAACTCCAAGAACGGTGGATCAGATCAGTGAGATTAACATGCTCACTAACACAGTCGGTGATTATCAGCTTATGGATGGAAGAGATAAGTGGAGGTACACTTTATCTAGTGATGGTGCTTTTCATGTCGATGCTCTCAGATTCAAAATTGATTGCTAGAACATACCATTGATGGAGACCCATTTAAAATGGATTCATGAGACTCCATTAAAGGTGACATGCTTTATATGGAGGGCCAATTTAGACAGAATACCAACCGCATGTGCTCTACTCAAACGAGGCATTCAACTGGATTCCCCCATATGCACATATTGCGGGACTGCAGAAGAGGATGCATATCATGTGCTCCTTCGATGCCCAATGGCTATGCAGGTTTGGGATTAGGTGTTTCGTTGGTGTGACATCCCTAATGTTCAATTCGCATCGGTGGAGGAATTATTGAAGTTTTCATCGCAGTGGGGGACATGTACAAAGAGGAGAAAAAGCTTCGTCAGTATCTGTTATGGAACGGCATGGCTCCCTTGGAAGGCAAGGTGTGATTGGGTATTCAAAAAATCTAGAATCTCTCCTGTTAAGGTGGCTGACTTGGTGAAATCCACAGTGTTTCTGTGGATCAAATATAGGAGAGAACATTGTAATTTTCAATGGATTGATTGGTGTATCAATCCTTTTTTGTGTCCGTAATTTCTTTCTTTATGTTTGTACTTATTTTTCCCTCCCTAGCGTCTTGCTAGGGTGTGGCCTCTTAATGATATTTGCCGTTTCCAAAAAATCTATATTTACATACCAATAACTTTAATAGATATTATATATTACATTTTAATACTATAACTTTAATTACATAATAATAACTCATCTATATCACTAAAAAGAGAAAATGTAGGTGGATGGTCTTATACTCTTACGTAGATCTGGGCTTGCAAAAAATTGACATATGGCAACTTAAATTGACAGATGCGATAGAGAAAGTCTTAATAACATCACGCTAATTATAAAAGCTGTAAAGAATAGGATGTATTTGGAAAATAGAGTGGGGGTCTACTTAAATCACTTTTTTGCAATACATATTATATATATACCATGTATGCCATACCCTCTATCTTTAGACATCATTTTCTAGAAAATGGAAGCTCAACATATTATTCAGTTAAAAAATCCCTCCTTGTTCCTATTCCCCAAAAGCTCTTTTTCCACAACTGTCAAATCACCATCACGCTTAAGCCGTAGATTCCGCCATGTATTATTAGCTTCCCACCCCTCTGTCGCAGCCCCTAAGCGGGAGAAAGATGCAAAAAAGCGTGTCGTCATTACAGGTATGGGTCTCGTCTCTGTGTTTGGAAATGATGTTGACACATACTACGATCGTCTCTTAGCTGGGGAAAGCGGAATCAGTTTAATAGATAAATTCGATGCATCAATATTCCCAACACGATTCGGTGGACAGATTCGTGGATTTAAGTCAAATGGTTATATTGATGCAAAAAGCGACTCTAGACTTGATGATTGTCAACGCTATTGCCTTGTTGCTGGGAAAAAAGCTCTTGAAGATGCTGGTATTGGAAGCCACGAACTCCTCAAGGTTTGTAATTAATTTCTTAGTGTTTTTTCATGTATCTAAATGTTTTATCGAATATTGGTGTACATGCAGATAGATAAGGAACGTGCTGGTGTTCTAGTTGGATCAGGAGGTGGAGGCGTTACAGTATTTTCTGATGCTATGAGGTGTCTCATAGAGAGAGGTCATAAGAAAATTACACCATTTTTCGCTCCTTATTCTCTAACAAGCATAGCGTCAGCTGTTCTTGCTATGCATGTTGGATTTATGGGACCAAACTACAACATCTCAGCTGCTTGTGCCACAGCCAACGCTTGCTTCTGTGCTGCTGCTAATCATATTCGTTTAGGGAATGCGGACATGATGATTGCTGGTGGGGTCGATGCTCCCTTGATTCCTCTGGAATTGGGTGGTTTTGTTGCATGTAGAGCATTGTCTCGAAGAAACCTTGAGCCCCAGAGAGCTTCTAGACCATGGGACAAAGAAAGAGATGGGTTTGTTTTGAGCGAAGGGGCTGG